TACACATTCTCATCCTCAGTACATGAATCATTCTCAATGATAGACCATATGTTTGATTACAAAACATCTTAAAATATTTAAAAAATTGAAATAATATCAAGAATCTTCTCTGACCATAATGTATTAAAGCTAGAAATTAATATCAAGGGTCAGGCCCAGTGGCTCAAATCTGCAATTCAAGCAATTTTGGAGGCTGAGGTGGGCAGATCACTTGAGGTCAGGAGTTAGAGACCAGCCTTGCCAACACGGTGAGAACCTGTCTCTACTAAAAATGCAACAACGAAAAAAAAAAACTAGCCAGACATGGTGGCACGCAGCTGTAATCCCAGCTACTTGGGAAGCTGAGGCATGAGAATCACTTGAACCTAGGAGGCGGAAGTTGCAGTGAGCCAAGATCACTCCACTTCACTCTAGCCTGAGTGGCAGAATAAGACTCCATCTCAAAAATAAATAAATAAATAAATAAATAAATAAATAAATAAATAAAAGAAATTAATAACAAAGAATTTTGTAAACTATATAAATACATAAAAATTAAACAATATGCTCCTGAATGACCAGACGGCTAATGCAGAAATTAAAAAAACAATCGAAACATTTCTTGATGCAAATGATAATGGAAACACAACATTTAAAAACCTATGAAACACAGCAAAAGCAGTACTAAGAGGAACGTTTATAGCTATAAATACCTACATCAAGAAAGAAGAAAAACTTCAAATAAATAATCTAACAGTGCATTTTAAATAATTAGAAAAGCAAGACAAAACTAAATCCAAAATTTGTAGAGCAAAAGACATATAAAGATCAGAACAGAAATAAATAAAAAAGAAATGAAAAAGCACAAAATAAATGAAATCAAAATGAAAAAGTATGAAAGTATTTCATCTTTAATGAAATAAAAAGATGGTCTTTTGAAAAGTTAAATGAAATTGACAAATTTTGAGCCAGACTAATTAAGAAAAAAAGGAGAGAAGGTCCAAAAAACTAAAATCAGAAATAAAAAAGAAGACATTACAACTGATACTGCAGAAATTCAAGGATCATTAGTGGTTACCAAGAGCAACTATATACCAATAAAGTGGAAAATCTAAAAGAAATCAGCAAATTCTTAGACACATACAACCTGCCAAGATTGAACCAGGAAGAAATTCAAAACCTGAACAGACCACTAGCAAGACACCAGATTGAAGCTATGCTAAAGTCTCTCAGTAAAGAAAAGCCCAGGACTTGATAGTTTCACTGCTGAATTCTACCAAACATTTAAAGAATATCATTCCTACTCAAACTGTTCTGAAAAATAGAGGAGAAGACAGCAAACTAACACAGGAACAGAAAACCAAACACCACCTGTTCTCACTCATAAGTGGGAGTTGAACAATGAGAGCACACGGGCACAGTGAGGGGAACATCATACACCAGGGCCTGTTGGAGGGTGGAAGGCTAGGGGAGAAACAGCATTATGAGAAATACCTAGTACAGATGACAAGTTGATGGGTGCAGCAAACGCCCGTGGTTCATGTATATCTATGTAACAAACCTACATGTTCTGCACATGTATCCCAGAACTTAAAGTACAATAATTAAAAAAAAAAGATAAGCAATTCCAATGGGAAAAAGTTTAAAAAAAATAGATGAGAAGGGAATACTTTCAAACTCATTCCATGAGGCAAATATCCTGATACCGGAACCAAAGATACACCAAAACACAGAAAACTACATGCCAATATGTCTGATAAATATTGATGCAAAAATCCTCATCAAAACACCAGCAAAAACTGACAAAAGGGGGCATCCTCGTGTTCCAGATCTTGGAGAAAGGCTTTCAGTTTTTCCGCATTCAGTGCTATACTAGTTGTGGGTCTGTCATATATAGTTTTTATTCTGTTAAGGTATGTTTCTTCTATTCCTAGTTTGTTTAGAGGTTTTATTACAAAGCGATGTTGAATCTTATCAAAAACTTTTTCAGCATCCATTGAGATGATTAAAATGTTTTTATCTTTTATTCTGTTCATATGGTGTATCACATTGGTTGATTTGCATATTTTGAACTATCCTTGCATCCCAGGGATAGATCTCACTTGGTCACCATGAATAATCTTTCTAATGTATTGTTGAATTTCATTTGCTAGTATTTTGTTGAAGAATTTTGCATCAATATGTACACCTAATATGTACCCACAAAAATTTAAAATTAAAAAGAATTTTTAAAGAACCAAAAAAAGATATACAATTGAGTTGGCCATCTTTGAAAGAATTGTACTACATAATATTTGGACACTGCTAGAAACTCCAGACATGTAGGGGACATAATTACTAATGTGTGGTTCTTGGATGTATCTTCCTTACTTCTGTAGAGCTATAGAAATAAATGAGTGACAGGTGGAAAAAGATTTGTCAGCTATGTTTTAACATAGAAGAGTTTAGAGGCTATTTAGAGTTTCTAAATCATCATAGGGGAGATGGCAAGCCATCTTGGAAAGTTAGATTGGAAAATCATGGTGGGCAAGAGGATGTCTGTTAGTGGGATACATACAGGAGATGATGGCCACCTGAGCTAGCATAATGGCCTATTGAGAAGAGAAGAGATCCACAGATTTGAGATAATTCAAAAGTAGAGTTTACACAATTTGGTTATTGATTAAGAAAGAGGAAGAAAGTTGACATTTAAGTTTCTGGATTGATCCACTAGAAGCATCAGTAATCTTAATTCTTTGAATGGAAATAATAAGGAAATTGGTAGCTGATATTTTGCTTGAAGTCTTTATTATGATGTTTTCATAACTGTAAAGCCAAATGACTTTATATTTATGAATGTGCTTACTTTTGACAGAACTTTCATAGGCTCACTCCTTCTAAACTCAGTTCCTTTAACCTTTCCATGAGATTGTATGTTTTTCAATAATAGATTCTGCAGTAGGAGCTATTAGATGCCCATCCCCATCTCCACTTTTCCTTTGTGATTCAGAAAGAATAATTTGCTATTTACCACGGAACTGTTTTAAAGCTTCTATGGACATTCAATTGGAAGACACTGAAAATGTAACTAACAGAAATTCAGTGATGTTTCCAAGTTGCCTGACTATAGGTTTGAATAATAATGACCTACATTTATTGAGAAATTAACAATATGTCAGTTAAATTCTAACTTCTTGGCATATTGTTTCATTTGGTTCTCACAACAACTCTATGAAGTAATCATTACTATTATCCAGATTTTATAGAGAAGGAAATTGAAATTCAGATAGGGTAAATCGCTTGCTCAAAATTACACAAGATTAAATAGCCCAGCCAGGACTAAAGACCCAGAACCTTTGCCAAGAGCTCTCAAGTGAGATATACAGACAAATATTCTTCTAATTGCTATCAGCTATTTGAGATCATATTACCTGCCAGTTTCCTTGTTGATGTGGAAGCCTCTTTAGTCCTTAACTACTTCCCTAAAGGCTCTGTCTCCAAATACAGTCACATTGGGGGTTGGGCCTTCAACATGTGAATTTTTAGGGAACTCGATAACACAATATAGTCCTTAACAGTTGTTCTCTCTTCCCAAGCTGAATGCTAAGGTCTTCCCTCAATAATGGATTCTTTTTTGCTTCAGACAGCCAGAGAATTGCTTGTAACCAACAATGTTAATGGACAAAGTATCTCTACATGATAGCAACAAATTTGATATTCGTTTATTTGGTGTTCCTTTGATTTGTAAATGTAATCAAGAACCATTTAGTCATTTATTCAAACATAGTTTTACCACTGCCATTTAACCACCTGTGTGACTTTAGATGAATTCATCTAAATAGCAGTTCCTTTATCTACAAAATATAGACAATTATACTGTCCCCAAGATTTTTTTAAGGACTTTGGGCTATATGAATATATAAAATTATTAAATATCCTGACAAATACAATTGACCTTTCAAATTCATAGGTGTGAATTGTATGGGTACGCTTATAGGTGGATATTTTTCAATAAATAGTCAATCCTCCATATTGGTAGGTTCCACATCTGCAACAAAATACAGATTAAAAAGGTGATGTTTGCAGGATTCAAAACCTGTGTACACAAAGTATGTACAACCTACATACTTCCTATATGTAGGTTCCATAGAGCCAAAGGCAGGACTTGAGTATGAGTGGATTTTTAGTATCATTGAGGGGTCCTAGAACCAATTCCTCCAGAATACTGGGAGATGATTGTAGTATCAACTTGCAGTATCATATGTTTGGATGGGCTCTGATGCCTGTTAGAAAATGACGGCCGGGAGAAAAAGAAATTATTATTTAATATTTGGTTTTAAAAACTGGAACTGTGAAACAAAGCTATTTCTTTTTTTTTTTTTTTGGTATGTAAAATTTTTTAAAATAATTAACTGTGAATGAAAATTGTATATATTTATTGAGTACAGCATGGTGTTTTAAAATATGTATACATTGTAAAATGGCACCCTAAAACTAATTAATATATGCATTATCTCATATGCTTTATATGTTTCAGTGAGAACACTTAAAATGTATTCTCATAACAATTTTCATAAAACAGTATTTTTAAATATAGTCGCCATGCTGTACAATAGATTCATTGGACTGCTCCTACTGTCTAACTGAAATTAGGCATACTGTGACCATCTCCCCAATCCCTACGCACTCCTCCAACCTCTAACAACCACCATTATACTCTCTGATTCTATGAATTTAACTTTTTCAGATTTCACATATAAGTTAGATAATGTGGTATTCATTCTTCTGTGCCTGTTTATTTCACTTAATGCAATGTACTCCAAGTTCATCTATGTTGTTTCAAATGACAGAATTTCCTTCTTTTTAAAAGCTAAATAGTATTTTATTGTGCATATATACCACATTTTTAATGTTCATAAATCTGTTGATAGACACTTAGGTTGATTCTATGTCTTGGATATTGTTAATAATTCTACAGAGTACATGCAAATGCTGATATCTCTTTAACTTACAGGTATACCTCAGAGATATTGAGGGTTCAGTTCCAGATCACCACAATAAAGTGAATATTTCAGTAAAGTAAGTCACATGAAGTTTATGGTTTCACAGTGCACATAAAAGTTATTTTATTATTTTTAATTTTTTATACTTTAAATTCTGGAGTACATGTGCAGAACATGCGGGTTTGTTACATAAGTATACATGTGCCATGGTGGTTTGCTGCATCCATGACTCCGTCATCTCCATTAAGTATTTCTCCTAATGCTATTCCTCCTTTATCCCCCCAACCCCTGTCATCACTCCCCTACTCCTCCACCCCCTGACAGGCCCTGGTGTGTGATGTTCCCCTCTCTGTGTCCATGTGTTCTCATTGTTCAACACCCACTTATGAGTGAGGACATGTGGTGTTTGGTTTTCTGTTCTTATGTCAGTTTGCTGAGAATTATGATTTCCAGCATTATCCATGCCCAGCATTATCCATGACATGGACTCATCCTTTTTTATAGCTTCATAGTATTCCATGGTGTATATTTGCCACATTTTCTGTATCCTGTCTATCATTGATGGGCATTTGGGTTGGTTCCAAGTCTTTGCTATTGTAAATAGTGCTGCAATAAACATACATGTGCATGTGTCTTTATAATAGAATGCTTTATAATCCTTTGGGTATATACCCAGTAATGAGATTTCTGGGTCAAATGGTATTTCTATATCTAGATCCTTGAGAAATCACCACACTGTCTTCCACAATGGTTGAACTTACTTACCCTCCCACCAACAGTGTAAAAGCATTCCTATTTCTCCACATGCTCTCCAGCATCTGTTGTCTCCTGATTTTTTAAGGATCACCATTCTAACTGGCATGAGTTGGTATCTCAATGTGGTTTTGATTTGCGTTTCTCTAATAAACCAGTGATGATGAGCTTTTTTCTATGTGTTTGTTGGCTGAATAAATGTGGTTCTTTTGAGAAGTGTCTGTTCATACCCTTTGTCCACTTTTTGATGCGGTTGTTTGTTTTTTTCTTGTAAATTTGCTTAAGTTCCTTGTAGATTCTGGATATTAGTCCTTTGTCAGATGGGTAGATTGCAAAATTTTTTCCCATTCTTTTGGTTGCCTGTTCACTCTAATGATTGTTTCTTTTGCTGTACAGAAGCTCTTAGATTTAATTAGGTCTCATTTGTCTATTTTGGTTTTTGTTGCCATTGCCTTTGGTGTTTTAGTCATGAAATCCTTGCCCATGCCTGTGTCTTGAATGGTATTACCTAGGTTTTCTTCTAGGGTTTTTATAGTGTTAGGACTTATGTTTAAATATTTAATCCATCTGCAGTTAATTTTTGTATAAGGTGTAAAAGAAGTGATACAGATTCAGCTTTCTGCACATGGCTAGCCAGTTTTCCCAACACCATTTATTAAATAGGGAATCATTTCCCCATTGCTTGTTTTTGTCAGGCTTGTCAAAGATCAGATAGTTGTAAATGTGTGGCATTATTTCTGAGGCCTCTGTTCTGTTCCATTGGTCTATATCTCAGTTTTGGTACCAATACCATGCTCTTTTGATTACTGTAGTCTTGTAGTATAGTTTGAAGTCAGGTAGTGTGATGCCCCCAGCATTTTTTTTTCCTTAGGATTTACTTGGCTATGCAGGCTCTTTTTTGGTTTGACATGAAGTCTAAGGTGGTTTTTTCCAATTCTGAGAAGAAAGTTAATGGTAGCTTGATGGGGATAGCATTGAATGTATAAATTACTTTGGGAAGTATTGCCATTTTCATGATGTTGATTCTTCCTAAATATGAGCATGGAATGTTTTTCCATCTGTTTGTATTTTCTCTTATTTCCTTGAGCAGTGGCTTGTAGTTCTCCTTGAAGAAGTCCTTCACATTCCTTGTTAGTTGTATTCCTAGGTGTTTTATTCTTTTTGCAGCAATTGTGAACGAGAGTTCACTCATTATTTGATTCTTTCTTTGTCTATTACTGGTGTACAGGAATGCTTGTGATTTTTGCACATTGATTTTGTATCCTTTGACTTTGTTGAAGTTGCTTATCAGCTTAAGAAGACTTTGGACGAAGACGATGGGGTCTTGTAAATATACAGCATGTCATCTGCAAACAGAGACAATTTGACTTCTTCTTTTCCTAATGAATATCCTTTATTTCTTTTTCTTGCTTTATTGCCCTGGCTAGAACATCCAATACTATGTTGAATAGGAGTGGTAAGAGAGGGCATTCTTATAATGACCTACAAGAGACTTAGACTCCCACACAATAATAGTGGGAGACTTTAACACTCCACTGTCAACATTAGACAGATCAACGAGACAGAAAATCAACAAGGATATCCAGGACTTGAATGCAGAACTGGAACAGGTGGACCTAATAGACATCTACAGAACTCTCCACCCCACAGTCACAGATATACATTCTTCTCAACACCACATTGCACTTACTCTAAAGTTGACCACATAATTGGAATTAAATCACTCCTCAGCAAATGAAAAAAAAAACAAAAATGGAAATCATAACCAACAGTTTCTCACAATGACAGTGCAATCAAATTACATCTCAGGATTAAGAAACTAACTCAAAACCACAAAACTTCATAGAAATTGAACAACTGGCTCCTGAATGTTGACTGGATAAACAATGAAATGAGGGTAGAAACAAAGAAGTTCTTCCAAACCAAAAAGAACAAGGACACAACATACCAGAATTTTTGGAATACATTTAAAGCAATGACTAGAGGAAAATGTACAGCAATAAATGCCCACATGAGAAACAAGGAAAGACCTAAAATCGACACCCTATCATCAAAACTGAAAGAGCTAGAGGAGCAAGCTCAAAAAAACTCAAAAGCTAGCAGAAGACAAGAAATAACTAAGATCAGAGCAGAACTGAAGGAGATAGAGACACAGAAAAACCTTCAAAAAATCAATAAATCCAGGAGCTGGTTTTTCAAAAAGATCAACAAAATACACAGACCACTAGCCAGATTAATAAAAAGGAAAAGAGAGAATAAACAAATAGATGCAATAAAAATGATAAAGGTGATATCACCACCAATCCCACAGAAAGACAAACTATCATCCGAGATTACTACAAACAACTCTATGCACATAAACCAGTAAACCTGGAAGAAATGGATAAATTTATGGACACTTGCACCCTCCCAAAACTAAACCAGGAAGAAGTTGAAACCCTGAATAGACCAATAACAAGGGCTGAAGTTGAGGCAGCAATTAATAGCCTACCAACCAAAAAAAGTCCAGGTCCAGATGGGTTCACAGCTGAATTTTACCAGACGTACAATGGGGAGCTGGTACCAGCCCTTCTGAATCTATTTCAAATGATACAAAAAGAGAGAATCCTTCCTAACTCATTTATGAGACCAACACCATCCTGATACCAAAACCCAGCAGAAATTCAACAAGAAAAGAAAACTTCAGGTCAGTCTCCATGATGAACATAGATGCAAAAATCTTCAATGAAATACTGGCAAACCGATTGCAACAGCACATCAAAAAGCTTATCCAACAGGATCAAGTAGGCTTCATCCAGGAGATGCAAGCCTAGTTCAACAAACACAAGTCCATAAACATAATCCACCACATAAATAGAATCAAAGACAAAAACCACATGATTATCTCAATAGATGCAGAGAAGGCCTTCAACAAAATTCAACAGCCCTTTAGGCTAAAAACTCAATAAACTAGGTATCAATGGAACATATCACAAAATAATAAAAGCTATTTACAACAAACCCAATGCCAATATACTAAATGGGCAAAAACTGGAAGCTGTCCCTTTGAAATCTAGCATTAGACAAGAATGCCCTCTCTCCACTCTTATTCAATATAGTACTGGAAGTTTTAGCCAGAGCAGTCAGGCAAGAAAAAGAAATAAAGGTATTCAATTAGGAAAGGAGGGAGTCGAATTGTCTCTATTTGCAGATGACATGACTGTATATTTAGAAGACCTTATCAGCTTAGCCCAAACTCTCCTGACACTGATAAATAACTTCAGCAAAGTCTCAGGATACAAAATCAATGTGAGAAATCACAAGCATTCCTATACCCCAATAACAGACAAACAGAGAGCCAAATCAAGAAAGAACTCCCATTCACAATTGTTTCAAGAAAAATAAAATACCTGGGAATACAACTAACAAAGGAGGTAAAGGACCTCTTCAAGGAGAACTACAAACCGCTGCTCAGGAAATAAGAGAGGACACAAACAGATGGAAAAACATTCCATGCTCATGATTAGGAAGAAACAATGTCGTGAAAATGGCCATACTTTCCAAAGTAATTTATAGATTTAATGTTATCCCCATCAAACTACCAATGACCTTCTTCACAGAATTGGAAAAAACTACCTTAAATTTCATATGGAACCAAGAGAGAGCCTACATAGCAAAGACAATCCTAAATAAAAAGAACACAGCTGGCGGCATCACGCTGCTGGACTTCAAGCTATACTACAAGGCAATATTAATCAAAACAGCATGGTACTGGTAACAAAACAGAGACATAGACCAATGGAACAGAACAGAGGCCTCTGGAGCAACACCACACATCTACAACCATCTGATCTTTGACAAACCTGACAAAAACAAGCAATGGGGAAAGGATTCCCTGTTTAATAAATAGTGTTGGGAAAATTGGCTAGCAATGAGCAGAAAGAAGAAACTGGACCCCTTCCTGACACCTTACACTGAAATTAACTCCAGATGGATTAAGGACTTTAACATAAGACCTAACACCATAAAAACCCTAGAAGAAAACCTAGCAAAACCATTCAGGACATAGGCATAGGCAAGGACTTCATGACTAAAACACCAAAAGAAATGGCAACAAAAAGCCAAAATAAACAAATGGGACCTAATTAAATGTCAGAGCTTCTGACAGCAAAAGAAACCACCATTAGAGCCAACTGGCAACCAACAGAATGGGAAAAAATTTTTGCAATCGACCCATCTGACAAAGGGCTAATATCCAGAATCTACAAAGAACTGAAACAGATTGACAAGAAACAAACAAACCCATCCAAAAGTGGGTGAAGGACATGAACAGACACTTTTCAG